TTTTTTTTTTCAAAAAAAATATATATTACTTAACTCTTATATGTTGTATTATCAAAGGGGTTATCCCATTTGTGGAAGATAGTGGGAATCCAAAAGAAGTAAGATTGTGTGGAAAAGCAAACATGTACATTTATATAATAAGCACCATAGAAATGTTATGAAATTCAAAAACCACAATCTTGAATGTGAGAAAGGACAAATAGAGAATGGATGTGAGAGTACTCCATAGGCCCTATCAAATCCTCATTAAATCAAATATTGTGCGAAAACAAAAATAAAAATGAAGGTAAAGTGAACAAGCACTGTTATTATGTCATTTATCAAAATTATATATGATGTTTAGGGTTTAGAAAAGCCCATGGATCACTAGGGTTTGCTATATGAATGAAGTATAAGATGCATTATAGGTGAGATAAAAATTGACCCTATAACACCTTCAAAGGACCCTTTATGTGTTTGGTGCGATTTCCTTTTGTAGTAAACTTGGTTTAGAAAATTCAACCAGCTGTAGACACTCACCTAAACAAGTTATTGTCCAAATTAATGATCTTGTTAATTGTTCAATTATATGATCTTCTTATGCAGATAATATAATGTCAATGATTCAAACAGCACCAAGTCTTTTCCGTGTCAACCTCTGAAAATATCAGCAAATCTATAACAGTGAGTGAGGAAAAACTAATTTACCATTGTTATTATTAAGCAGAAGAAGAAGATGCCAAACAAAAAATTTACTGCTGCAAAGGTAAGTTTGAGCTGTCCCCGTTGGGCTTGATGATGAGATTCCTCTTCTTCTTTTTCTTCTTATAAGGGATCCCTCTTGCTTTAGCTTGAGAGTCTCGAATCTCACGGAGATAAACTCTTATGGCACCACTGGCAAATGGATTAGTCTCAGGCAATCCTCCATTTTCTTCATATGCAGCTCTTAGCCTTCCAATGAGAGCATCAAGGCTCCCCCAAGCTTGTTTTAGAGGGCAAGTGCAAGGACCAGGTGGCTCAACTTGACCAAAGAAGAGACACCCTTGAGCATGCACTTTAGTCTTCCCAAACTGATCCAAGTACCTTAGAAAATCCAGCACTTGGTTGGAATTGCACTGTGATAGTGCCACAGGAGGCCTTTGGTTCCTCAAGTACTGCCCAAAAGTGTTCCAATCCCTTCTCTTCTGAGATTCATACCTACTCAGAGGATGTTGTTGTTGTTGCTGATGTTGTTGTAGCTGCTGCTGATGATCAGAAACAATAGCAGAAGTAGCAGATGAAGAAGATCTTGATGATCCTTCTGCTATGTCTTTTCCTTTGGTGGACATATCTGAGTCAGTATTGGTGATAGTGATTCATTTAGTATATGATTTTGTGAAGCAAGGAAGAAAGGGAAGGTTTTGGTTTTGGTTTTGGAAGGGAGAAGACAATAGAATAGCAGTGGAAGAAAATGACAAATTTTTTTTGGAGGATCACATCAAAGGGGACTAGTGAGGAGACATGGAATGGGACCAATGAAAGTGCTTTAGCCTTCTTTTTCTTCCTTCCCTACATTATCTTGCTTTAATGGTACTATTAGCATTAAGCATACTTTATAATTTTGTTTCCTCTTATTTTTATTTTTTTTAATTATTATGCTCCCATCATCAAAGGTGTCATTATTGGGTAACTTAGCGTAATTAGCACTGTGGTTATACCCAATCACCATTAAATAACAGTCTAGGTCCTCTAGCATTAAGGGCTTGTTTGCCACCTAATAGAAAATTTTGGGATTACAAGTTAAACTTAGTGACTTCCGTAACCTATTCTATAACTCATTGTCATTGCACAAAAGTATGGTGTTACATCTCTTTCACATGCTCATCAACCAAAATACTTTTCAATTCTATTTACCCTATACCTCTTACTAATAAAAGGAATTCCACCCAAAAGTTCAATGCAAAATTCTAACGATAAATAACAGTCTTTTTTACTGTAATATTACACAGATTATACAGTTTAAATTTACGTGAATTTCAATAGAATAAAATTCTCTTTCTTTGTGGAGGAAACAATAAAGCAAAGAATAATTTTGAGTGGAGGAAGGGTTGTTACTTGCTTGATTGATGAAGTATCTGATCGGAAAATCTTATATTAAAATATTTTATGTATATATGCTTAAGGTCTGTACTACTCCATTTCAACACCTAGTTTATGGCATAATCATAATATCTAGATTTCATATGCATATTGACATAAAAACTCACATGTGACCAACAAATTTTGTTGTTGTGGTCATTTCTTTTATATTGAAATATCTTGTACAAACAACTTTACCTTTTACCTTTTAACTTTTCTTTACCAACTGATTAAGATAAGTTTTGTTTTCAATTCTACACTTTTCTTTGGCCCTGCTATAGAAGTTACCTTTTCATAGACATATTATATTATATATATATATATTACTTTTAAGAACTTCTTCACTTAAATGTTACAGCCAATAACTATTAGATTATGAAAAAAAACGTAAAAATGGAAATTAATTATCATTACAGTTACTTCTAAAATAACGCAATCTCTCTTATCTATATATACAAAGATGTTTTAAATTAGAAGTGTAAATTATTAATATCAGTCAAAAGATTATTTTATTAAGAAAATCAGGCACAATATTAAATGGTCATTTTCATTACCAAGTTAGTATAATATATATATATATATATATATATATATATATATATTATACTTTGAATTTGAATTTAAATTATGATATTCAAATCAATTATATTTTTGTGAGTTTGTTGTGTTGAGTTTTTTTAATTCATACAATTAGAATTAAGTTGATAATAAATTTACACTAATGTAGTTAAAAGAAAACGATTTTTTATAATTAACAGTGATTTTTAAACTAATGTATATTCAAACGAGGTAAAAAAGGGTGGATTTTTGTCCTTAGTTCGGAACTGAATGAAAAATAGTGGATTTCTACCTCGATTCACCATTACCCAAAGCAGAAAATCAAAAAAGTCGGGCTTTTTGGAGTAGGTCCTTAAAATCAAAATTTTATTTAAAACACACTTTATTCCAGCGTGTTAGGTTATAATCGAGGTCATGGACCCTTTTCTGTTTTAGTTTTCACCATGACTGTTGTCAAAATGCTACGTTTATTTTTTAATAGTGGTCCACCTCTTTCAGTGCTTCTTCCAACAACTCTTCTCCTTCTGCTCACATCCACCCGGATGATCATTGTAACAGGACAAACAACCAAACGTACAACACAGACAAGACAATAAATAGGGTAAGCTTATGTAATTTAATTAATTCAATAAAACATACAATTTTAATGATTAAATCAAACAACAACCAAATCATAGTTCATACATCATGGCATGCAAAGAACGACCACTTGACTCTGACAGCCCGGACTGTATGAATTTTGTGTAGCTACGACGTTCGTGCACCCGAGTGATGTAGTAACTGGGATACCCTCAACAGCTGCCACCCGAGGTTAATCCGTTCCGTCCAAGTTAACCTTATGGACTAGGACCTCCTGTCATTCTTACACATGACTTACTCCTCTCTATGTGAGAATGAGTAATCACGGAATATCGGGATAAACGCCCGCTAAGCTTTGCTCACATTCATACTTTACCATTCAATAATCACTTTCTGATATATTCCTCCCTAGAATACTCTTTCATAACCAAACTATTTCATTCGTATCACATTTCAAATTCCCTTATACTTCATCATCAATATACTCAACTGAATAAGATCACACTTTCTCATCATAACACAAGTCCGAAAGGAATAACACTCCTTAGAAACTAACATGACTGAGCTCTATTTATGAATTTATCTGCTTCAATGAACTGACCCTTAAGAGTTCAAACCGAACATCACGAAGCCTAGGCCGAGTACTAAGACTCTAGGCCGAACACCATTTAGAGACCAATACTGTTTGACAAACCGAAGTACTATGAACAAAACGAATGCTCTTATTTTAAAAAATGGTAATAATAGATTACTGAGACAGGACCCAGCGCTTGGTTTAAGACCGAGCACTGTAGAAACTGACACTATTGAACGAGCGCTGGTCCAAGACCAAGCACTTATCAATAACGAGCGCTACTGAGACCAAAAGCTTGGTCCAAGAACGAGCACTACTAAACTTAAATAAAAATGAAGGAGTATATATATATATATATATATATATATA